AGTCTGTCTCTTTTTGCCCTTATATCTTACAGTCGTGCTTGTATTTCCCTTAGTTTTATTTCTCCTTTTTTTCCTGCTCTACATGGGCTAAGGTTTCCTCCTGACTGTAATTCTCCTTTTGCGTAACGATGCCTTCAGATCTGTGTGCTTCACAATTTCCTCTATTCTGTCCTCTTCAGAGCTAGGTGTTAGCACCAGTTCTGTTGATTGTTAATGAACTATTAAAATTTCTTTTACTTTAATAGGAAGAGGACTTCAAATAGATTTGGTGTAGAGAGCACTGTAAGCTGTCCCATTAAGATTTCAGACCATTCCACATTTCACAGAATCAGAGAGTGTTAAGGATTGGAAGGGACCTCTGAAGATCATCTAGTCCATCCTCATCTTTGGAATAAACCTAAATCTTGAAATTAACCTTGTCTTGTTTTTCAGTCTTTATTTGGCTTCCCCCTTTTGCTTTTGCACACTGCATTTCTATGTCCTCTGAAAAGATGCTTTGTGGAAAGGCAGTTTTTTGTCACACATGACACTGGAAGAAATTACTGCACAGTGGAGAGGGGATTGTTACAGACTAGTCTAAGAATTGTGTAAGCAGCTGTGGTTTCTTTATCACTGTGTGTTGACATAGTGACATATTGATGGGTTGGAGGTTTAGAATCTTGCGTATTGAATATCTTATGCTTTCCTAAAACTGTTTATCTCGCTGGGAATAACAGAGCGTTTCTGCCTTGTGCAGAAAACTGCCAAACATCTCATAGAACAGCCACGGTGAGATTAACAGCGCTTGTTTAGATCAGCTATAAAAATGCAGTGATATTCTTCATGCTCATACTTTCCCAAGTATGCAGCATACGTACTCAAATGAAAACTTCAATTCTGGAGCAGAAGATGGCAGCATATAGAAGAAAATATATTGTTTCATGAACCGTTCCAATTTTAAGCTCCTTTGGATGGCTTCCATAGAATAACATTATTAATAATAAAGAGAAATATTTGATATGATATAATTAGATGTTCCTGGAACCAGGGATGGTTAGATAGTGCCTTTCTAGCCTGATCTTTTGTAAACTCACTTGTCAGGCACAGAATTTAAAAGCCTTGCTTCAGATTCCAGAAGAGATTTGATCACTGTTAATCTCAGATGAGGGGAAGTGCTGCCTACAGCCTGGCATTAGCCTGCTTCCTCCCTGAGAAGCATTTCCTTTTGGCTTATTTAGGCAGATCCCTGTTATAGCAGCCTAGCCTCAGTGCAGGGCAGAAGGAGTCTGAGTATCTCTGTGTAATATAGGGAACTTGGCTGCCTAACCTGGAGCTCTGGATTCAGCAAGTGTCTGGGAGCAGGTGCTGTGGTGATAAGTACGACTCATCTCTCTGGCTTTAGCACTAAAATCCTTCACTGTTTTACTCCCTTTAGGAGTGCAGCCCATCTAAATCCTCCATGAGTGTGTGCCCTGCCAAAATTCTGCTGCTCCTTGGATTGTGTGAGGCTGTTTGAGCTGGCAGAAATTACAGAAAGCCCTAGTGAATGGCTCCTCATCCCAAGGTGTTGGTGTCACAGCTAAAGCGAATCTGTAAAGCAGCAGCCAAGGGGCTCTCAGTTAACATGCTGCTTGTGAACAGCCATGTGGAGAAGGCTGCATTTTAGTGAGGAAGCCATCCTAAACTTAGAATATTCTCATTCTTCCTTCCTCCTTCCAAATTTGTAAGCAGTTTTGTGCTTCATAGTAGGGAAAACCTACAGGTTTTTTGTGAATTTCTTCTCTTAACCTTGTGAAAGAGCTCAAACTTCAGGTATGAATAGGTGTCTGCTTTTGCATCCTGTTTTGCTAGAAGAGAATAATCTATACTGGCACTTCCTAATTCACTTCAAACAAAATCCAATTAACTTCAGTGTTTTAGATAGGTCTGAGTTAATTTCACAGACACACCTTAAGCAAATTGCCTGTAGGTCTCATTTCACATTATATCAAGAACTGGTGGCTCCCACTATTGCCTACAAGTATCACTAGTTGTGGAGTGCTTTTCCACTCGCAGCCACTCTGCGTGTTGAAGGAGCATTAATGGAGATGAGTGCCGAGCACATCTGAAAGCAAACCATTTAATAGAATGGTTTAGATGATTTTGATGGCTTTTGTCTGCTGTTACAACTGATACTGAAAACTCTGTAGGATACTTACCTGTCTTTTATCCATAATATAGATGTACGGTAAGAGGGCACCCTGGGAGGATCCCTCCAAGTGGGTAGCTGATACCTATCCATGGAGCTCTGCATCTTTACAGCATGAGTGGCCCTCGCTACTTCAGTTAAGACCAGAAGATGTTGGTTATGAAGGTTATGCATCAGCAAAGGAAGGAACAACCTCAAAGCACGTTCCACAGACTGATACAGAGGGGGATCCCTTGGTAAGATTTAAACTTTTGGGAAAAGCTTTTTGGTGTGAACGTTACTGTCACGTGTTAAATTGTATACTGTACAGTAAAAAAAAATTGAGCTTTTAAAATTAATCCTACTATAATTTAATTAAAAGTTTGAAAATAAAAAGAAAATCTAGCAGAAGGGCAGGCATCACTATCAGGTTAATGTGTCCCTAACTTGTCTGCATTTTCCATCTGCCCAGAAATTTATCTGGTCTTTATCATTAGAATGTTTGGGTACCACTCTTCAGCAGTTTATTAATCAGATTATTTTAAAAACACCTTTCCCAGTTGGGCAGCCCTTCATCTACATTCTACAAATAAAGGACTGAGAAACTTGCCTTATCTAACTTGTCTATCATAGTGGTAATGCAAATTAGACAGCCATCCTCCCATACCTCAGAACATTTCAAGATAACTGATGACTTAATAACAGTCTTAATGTAAAAGGAATGCAAGTGTGGGGGCATTAAAAGATAAGAGGTTGATTTCCCTCAATGCCATGTATTGTTTTATTTAAATACGATGCTAGACATTTGGGTTTACCATTGCCTCCTCTGATAATGGACTATTAAATTGCATATATTGAAGTACTATTCTTGTATAGTGCTTTCTCTGTAGACTGCCTTTATCACAATTCAAAACACCATTTTAGAGAACCGTACTTCTGCAATACAGTCAGTCCTTGCAAAGAGGAATTTCTCAGAGGAAAATGCATTTCACTCTTATCAGTGCTAAGAAAATGACTCCTCAGCCTCACTGAAGTGTTTGGTATCCAGAATCATATCTTGCCTCCTCAAGTGTAGAAAATCACCTCATTTGATCCCCTGTCTCCCACTATATAAGCTTTGGGGTGACTAAGAGAAGGCTCTGGGGAGGCCTTACAGCAGCTTTCCAGTTACCTGAAGGGGCCCTACAAGAAAGCTCAGGAAGGGATGTTTAGAATGGTGTGTAGTGATAGGATGAGGGGAAGTGGTTTTAAAGTAGAGAAGGATATATTTAGATTAGACATTAGGAAGAAGTTTTTTACAGTGAGGGTGGTGAAACTCTGGAACAGGTTGCCCAGAGAGGTGGTGGAGGCTCCATCCCTGGTCAGGCTCGATGTGGCTCTGAGCAACCTGATCTACTTGAAGATGCCCCTGCTCACTGTAGGGGGGTTGGACTAGATGACCTTTACAGGTCCCATTCTATGATGATATTATTCTTTGAACCCATAACTTGGCCTGACAGTGAGTGTATTGCCCAGGCTTCCGACATGAATACATAATCTCCACTAAGGTGAAAATACTTGGGCAGCTTGAGTTCAGTGTCCCATCACCCATGCTCTATGTGCACTTTGATCAATGTCTGTGTCTGACTAAATCTTAGAAGCTGGAGACTTTTTAATGAAGGGCTTGTGGATCTCATAGAGACAGAGACCCCGTGTGTGTGGAAACAAGACCTGTCACGTGCAGGCCGTGTTTCTTACCCACTGCCTGTATCCTGTATTCTTGCACATGGGTATCTATTAAACCTTCAGCAAAAGCTACCTGATAGAATTAAGGACTATTAAATGCTGTTCAATGCCTGGAGAAAACTTTACAAGCTGTGCAGGTGGAAACCATAGAGATTTAAGAATTCCTGAGCAAACTGGGAAAAAGGGTTTAACAGACAAACACACAAGAATACGTCTTTCTCTTTGGTTTTTCATTGCCTGGTTTTTGTAATGACAGCATATTTCTTCCTTGAAAAATACTAAAGCAATGTCAACATTGCTTGCAGCCCTGATCATGCTGGCAGAAGTGGATGTTTTATAAATAAAATCCTGATCATTACACAGGGATAGGCGTCAAGCATCCAAGTAATTTTCTGGGGCTTAATGCTGCTTTTTGTTGATTTTTCAGATGAGTTTCAGATTCTAATAATCCCTAAATTATGTGGGGACTCTCCTCTCCTGGGTAGGAGGATCTGTTGCTGCTTCCCTGCTGAGGTCAGACCCTCAACAGCAGATGGGACTCTTCTATGAAGCAGCTGGCCTCGGTCCACCCCTCTCTCGCTCCCTCCCTGTCTCTCTCTTGCAGTAGGGATATGTTAGTGTGATTATGTTTTCAGTTGCTTTTCCAATGTAGTGTGTCTATGACATCCAAAATTATCTGGAAGCTTAACTGTCTCAAATGTGGGCCCAGATGTCCAGCTGTGATATGGCTTCCTTCCCCTGCCAGTGTCGCAGCTGCAGCTGATCTCGCTCCTGAATTAGAGTTATCAGGCAGCTCCATTGTATACCTCTGGCTCTTTGGACCTTTAAACTTCTATTTAAAGAACAGAAGGGAATGAGAAGGGTGCCAGGAGGAGCTGCTGACACCCTGGCCTTTCTGAAATCCTTTTGTATGGTACCCTCACCTAGATACCAGCACATTTCATACATCAAGGGAGCTTAATTAAATTTTAATGTGGTCACTGCAGCATTAAATGAGACGAGATTATGTAAACATTGTTTTCTTCTTCCAGATGAATATGCTAATGAGGCTTCAAGAGGCAGCCAATTATTCGAGTGCACAAAGCTGTGACAGTGATAGCACCAGCCACCATGATGACATTTTGGACTCCTCCCTTGAATCAACTCTCTGAAAGGGACAAACCTTGGTGGAGGATCATGGTAAAACCTGTTTCCACTAGACCACTGCCAGTATTAAAGCAGCACGCCGAGGTCCCTGAGTGAGAATGGTGTCTTGTAGGTAGGCAGGAGACCTAATTCTGCAAAGTCAGGAAGGAAAATTGAAGTGGAAAGCTTGAATTAGTTTAATTTCAAGGCATTTTGATACCAATGGAGCCAAGTGAGTCTCCATTTGTCAACTGGAAAGGGCCCTAGACCAAGGGCATCTAAGCAGATTGCACACGTGTTAGCCAAACTGGAATTTTTTTTTTCCCTTTTCCTCTTTCTCTCTTTCTCTGTCTCTCTCTCTCTTGGTCTCTGTTTCTCTGTACACGTTTACAGTGCAACTTCTGTTTTTTCCCTTTAGTTTACCCTGAGGTGCTGCATGAACAATGCGGTCTTCTAATTCTCTTCTAACCTCTGTTGTGCCACATGGTGCTGGTCACAGGACTGCAGTGGTGTTTGTGTTGTACACTACTGCCCATTCCAAAATGAGTTAAAGATGATGATAGTAACTCAGAAAGCACAAACAGTATTGTGCAATCACCAGAAAATATGACTGTGATATGCTGGATAAGTGCCAATTTAATTCTAACTGCCATGGTCACGGTGATGCGCTCCATCAAGTTTTTAGTACACGAGTCACAGATTTTATAAAGTTGTTTTTACCACAAAGGTCTTTTTTAACCACCTGCCCACTCCTTAACAACAGTTTTATACCAATTATTAACCAACACTGATTAAAGGCTTTTTAGGGCTTCATTTGTTTGAGCCTTTTCAGTGAAAGAAGGAACATTTCTTATGGTGCTGTCTCACTGCCTTAAAACAGATTTCTAGAACAGTTTTACAGTTGGTTTAATTCCTAAACCATTGGTAATTTACACTGTTTTTTTTCTTCATTTACTAATGAGAAAGCGTCAGTTAACACAGTAGCCTCATATCTGTATATCATGATTTTTTAAAGTAATGGACAGGAGAAAGAACAGTTGCTATATAATATTTTTATCTTGTGAATAGATTGCTCTGCCTACCCTCAGAAATACACAAGAAACCCAAACCCACTTCCACTGCCACCTAAATGCTGAGAAAATTGTCTCAAATCCATTTGGTCCCATGGAATGGAGTTTTTGGAGGATAGATGTTTTGAATTCTTATCCAGCAGAGCTGGATGCACTCGATGCAGCATGAGCACAAATATATGTTTTTTGGTTTTTTTTCCTTTTTCTAGTTTTAGCATGTTGTTTTGATTGTTATTGTTGTACATGAAGACTTCAGCATAAAAGAACACTGAAGCAGTGATGTCCACTGTGGAAGAGGAAGAGTTTATACTGTAAAAGTGGGTTGGTTTTGCACAGTCTACTGGGTGGGTATTGTAAATACTGAAGAAAAAACAATTTAAAAAAAAAGAAGAAAAAAAAAGCCTTGCACAAATCAAACTGAAAACAAACAAACAAACAAAAATTGTATTTTATTCTGTTGGTGTTAAGAGATGTTTCACTTGCTGAGATTTCCTGTATGTTGCAAACAAATACAGAATGCAAACCTTAAAAGCTGTTATTACCCGGTGTGTTTGTCCTGTACTTACAGTTGTTATGACTATGCAGGAGCTATCAATGCTACAGTCAACGTGTTTCAATATCTATACGAAGCCAATACATTTTGGGGGAGAAATACCTAAAAATGTTTTAAGTGCGTATGTGATGGCAGGCTACAACCAGATGCATTCCAACTGCTCAGAATAATCGGAAACGCTCTTTTACCACAAGAGCCATCCGGTTAAAATAGGTGCATATAAACAAGAAGGTACCTAAGGGCTTTGGCATTGTGTAGATATGTACTGTACACCTCCACCGATGTTACCTTCACGATGTGTTATTTGGTGCTATTAACACTTTGTGGCCACCCTGTGGTCACTCGCTGTAAAACAAAGATAAATCAATGCAGTTTCCAAATGGCACTGAGCTGCATCGCTGAATCTAGAGGTTCCTACACGGTGCTATTGCCCTGATAAAACCTCAACTGATTGTATGCATGTAGGATTCAGTCAGACCAACATCTTGCCCCCCCAAACTGGATCCATTTCTGATGCAAAATGTCAGCACGTACACCTTGTCTGACTCCAGGAACTAAAGGAAAGCTCCTCTTCCCTGTACCTGTGCTCTGAGCAAACCTGCGAATCTTTTCCTGCCATGTTTAACACACAAACACACAATATTGCATATACAAAACTTCCTGCAATACATCTCAGTGAGTCCACCTAGTTTACAACTCAGAAATTGTTTGTGAAACATTTGTCTGTACACATTTTATATTTTGTACATTTTTGATGTAACATATCATGTAAATAGACAGAAACAGTGAAATAAATCATCTGAAAAGTTTTGTAGTCTTTGTAAAGCCCTAATAATAAGTATTTGGTGTCATCGGACTTAACTGGATGATGTATTTTCTATTGGTTTATTGTTCCTCTAGCTTGTAAACCAGCTTGCGTATATTTTTTTGCAGGTGTGCGCACTGTATCTGTCTAAATTATTACTTTGCCATTAAAGTGGAATTATTTATTGAAAACACAGTCTGGTGTTTTTGCAGTCAGGACCACTTAACGGTTAGTTATTATTTCAAATATGAAAACAAAATGATAAACTGAAGGATGTGGTTTTTCTGTATTTAGCAGAACTAATCTCTGTAGAAACAAAATTAAGTACTGTTTCTAGCTCCAGTGATTCAGCATGACTTCTTAATGGCTGTTTCCATGGTGGGAACAGGTTGTGCAGTTCAGAAACAACTTTACGGTCTCCCTGTTCTCAAGATTATTTCAAATACAAGTCTACTGATTTCAGTGGTAGCAAATCTGTACAAAACTGGTGCCGTTTCAAACTTGAATAACTTGAAGCTACTTCCTCAGCAGTTATACATTAATATGATTAAAGAGAATTCAAAGAAAGAAAGTAGAATTATGTTAGTCAGCTAATGACAAACTTTGAGAAAGAGACCATTATGATCCTGCAAGGTGTAGCACCTCAGCTATAAATCTCAGCAGCAGAACTGTAATTTTACCTGAAATTGTCATATCCCTGGGAAGAGCTTTAGAAATAACAGTCCAGAGTAGAAGATTCAGCACCTTGCTGTCAATATGGCTAATTATTCGCAGGATGGCTTTGTTTTTTAAGGGCTGTATTTGCATTTAGATCTTACATGTCTCTTTCTCTTTTGGTTTGCCGTTTCCTTTTATCCTAATCAGTCAACCACAATAAAAAAACATCTTTTATAGAAATATTTTAAGTAGTTTAAGTGATAGTCTTTCTTTCTTTTCCTTTTGATAAGCAACTTGCTCATTCTTAACTTTTCAAGAGAAGGCATGCCTTTCAGACCTCAACACATTTATTGCAGGACTTTCTGACTACTTTTTTATTTATCAGAGTCCTTTCCAGAGTGGGGGTATATGAACTGCACACAGTATTCCTGTGATGATTTTACTTTTGCTATGAACAGAACTAATATCAGCTTCCTACTCCCACTTCATATTTTCCCTGCTTAGGCTTCAGGGCTGACATTCACTCTAATTGCATCATCCTACCACTGCCTCCTGTTCAGTTAATTACTTAACCAAGACCCTGACTTCTTTTCATGTTGCATCATTTTGAAATACTTTGTCCAAACCTGTCTGTATGAACTATGCTTTTTGTTCCTTATATGTATGATTGCAAATTTGTCTTTATTAAAACAGGATATTCGCATCAGCCCACCTTACCAAATGATTCAGATCATTCTCTACAATCAGCATCTGTCTAATTTACCACTCCACCACCTTCCCCGACTTCCAAAAACTGCTAACCGTTGTTTTACTTTGTCTTTAGTTTGTAGGAGTAATGTTTTGTCAGGGGCAGATCCTTGTTGAATCCTGCTAGGACCCTTCATGATTTCTGTTTTACAGCTACATTGTTGGGTCACTTATGTCATGGGTATATTTGTATTCCAGTTAACATGAGTATGAATATCAGAATGTCATACAAAGCCATGTGCGTATAATATTATGGGAAATATATGATGAGTTACATGGCTTCTCCATCACTGTAGGTCTCCAAGGCTGCATTAGACTAGTTTCTGTTGAAAATTACATATGCAGCTCTGATCTCACACAGAAAAGGGAATACACTAGATGACCTTAGCGATGTCAGTGCAGCTTTCCTATGATTCAGTGCTTCAGTTTTCGCACGTTATCCAGTTGCCATTACTTAAGGGAAAAGATATGAAATTTAATTGTCAAACTCAATCTGTGTCTACTGCCTCAGCATATATGCCTGTTAGGCTTTATCTGGAGACCTGCCTGGTGAATGTCCAGATTCTCAGGGCAGGAACAGGAACAGGATAGTGCAGCCTCAGAAAGAAAAGTGGTTTTACCAGAGTACTTGAGACACTGCTCTTGCTTACAAGAACTCATTTTTATGCAATCATTAAATAGCCACCGTGTTTCTCAGCAGGCACTACTTTTTCTTGATAACTGAATAATGTCACACAAATTAAATCCTACCACTAAGTTTGGCAATGCAAGAGCTGCAGATGCACTATCATGGGAGAAATGTATTGCTGGGTAATAATACTTGTAGCAGAAAATAGAATCTGTCATGAAAGATAAATTAACTAAGACCCAGGCCATGTGACCTTGCCTTTCTGCACTAAATTGCATTTACTGTTCTCTGTTCAACTGCAACCTTAAACAAACGTTGATAAATAGCAATGAGTGAGCACACTGAATGAAATAAAGTTCTGGGTTTAGTAACAAATTTCGTAAATAATGTTTTGCCTTTGTTGGTTTATTTACTTGTTTTGTAAGCAGTTTTTATTAAATCAGATTTAGGAATCTAAAATGCATCTTGACAATTAAATGCCAAAGCTGAAAGAAAAGGCACCTAGTAACTGCTATGTAACAAAATGAAGCATATACATGGTGACACGTAACCAGCACTAATGATTTTATCATGCCATAAATGGATGGCTCTGGAAGAACAAAACAGCAAACAAAATACATGTTATCTGTATGACCAAACCCCAAGGACTTGATGAACTATGTAATTTAAACTGCTGAACTCTGTCTTAGCAGTGATAATTCAATACACCTTAAATATATCCAGATAATCCCATGTTCTACACTCTACAATGTGCCAGCAGGAAAAAGACTCTACGGTGTGAGTGTTAATGCAGGTTAGCTGTTCCACTCGTGTAAGCTACACACAATAAAGAAATAGGACTTCTGTATAGCAGTCTTTGAGCTACCATAAGTAATTGGATGGCAGAACAAATAATTTAGCTCCATCATTACCACACTCTTCATGTAACTGTCATGATCTTTAGTGTAGCCTGTCCCTGCTTATCCAGGTCAAGCTAATGACACTGTATTAGACTAGTGCTACTGACTCTTGATTGTGGCTGGAGAAAGTCACACTGGAGGCAAAATCTCACATCTTAACTGGACATTTTCCATCTAGAAGAAATCAGTAATCTGAAAGCTGTATAAGAAAACTTTATTGTCTTACTGGTAATTGCTGTGATTAATTTCATTATTACTTAATGTGCTTATTACTGCTTTTGTAGTGCCAGTATGTCTCAAATACTTTTTTATAAATAGTTTTCTTGTAAAAATTGTCTTTCCAAGTGTAAAGTCATACTGCTTGTTGAGGGCTTTTTAATATCTTGTTTCACACTAACAACATATTTAACAAACTACATCCACATACAGTAAATTTCATCTCTATCTTAAGGGTCTCTGACGTTAAAAAAGCATGTTTAGTCTTACTATGTGTTCCAAGTACGTGATGTTCATTAATATCTGTCCTGAATATAGTGTTAGGCACATGAAGTGCTTTCCTAATCTAGACTTCAGTGTCTTCAATGTGTTCTTCCATAAACCATTGTCTTCGGGCATAAGGTGGTCAACTGCTGCAAGATTGAGCTGAACACTGTATGCAGTAACTGTGCAAAATATTACACTCAAGAATTAGAGTTTAATTGCATGCTTAGACACAGCACTCAGTAGGTTCCATATTGCCTGATGTAATGTTCTCTGAAGTTGCATAAAACCTTCAGACTGTGTTGCTAATCAGGATGGGAGGAGGCCTCCCCGTTTTTGGAGTGGAGCAGCTGATAGCCATAAAACCTAAGCGCCTAGTTGTAGCTGCAGGACAACAGAGTGGTTAGTCCACCTAAAGGAAGGTAGATGAGCTATAGCATATGTTCCAGGGCATGCTGAAAGAAATCTTTCATACTGGAAAAACAGCAGTATCATTTAGCTATTACCATCTCTTCCTGTACATCAGAATCAGTCAAGTAACTTTTACAACTAATCATAACATTATCTCGCCAGATGTCAAGATACTTTTGGTTTTTCTGAACTATGCATTAAGCAAAATATAAAATATAGGACTCAAATGCAATATGAATCTTAGAACAAATATTCATGCTCTAAAGTCTGGGTTACATTGAAACTCTTTGCCTAATGATCAGGTGATCATTCTGTGGTGAGCAGGAAGTACACTTATATCCACAGAAACCTCCATGGTTGCTCAAGAATGCTCAGTCCTGTTCTTGTCCCTCCTTTAGGGGAACAGAGTAAAGAGAGAAAATGGACTTCTGCTTCATTTGCCTATCCATATTCACCAAAAAAAAATCCACTTGCTGCTGATTCTCTCCCCTGAGTTTTGTTAGCAAACCTGCTGAGTATCAAACCACAGCTGGTCAGGAAGTCTCCAACCAACAAGGCTGTCCTTTGAAGACAAAATGATGCACCAAAGAATATCGGAGTAAATAAACTTTGGATGTACCACAAGCAGATGATGGTTTTGGCCTTATTTCCTGCCAACTCACCAGACAGCTGCTTCAGCACCAGAATTACAACGGTCTGCAGCTCTGGCGAAGTTTTGTTCAGGACACAAGAGCGTGAAGCTTCTTGCTGCAGAGCCCAAGATGCTCGTAGCAGAGCTTCAGCTCTTGTCTCCACTGACATCCCTGAACACACCCACTGCTGCCAGAATGGGTAGGGTCTTCTGGCATCACTCCGATGTTGGAAAAATACCCACACTCCCTACAACTACGTTGAAGGAATATCTCCTAAAGATGTAGATGGTGTAAGAACTATTAGAGTGGAAGGAAGGGGCAGGGGACAAAGCAGATGTTTGCTCTGATCTGTTCTAGACAGCAAAATCACTTAGACTTTCTCGAATGAAAGCATGGAACATTTCTTTCTAGTGGAACTTCTTAGACAAGCTTTTACAGAAATTATTCCAAACACATACAGGTACTCACACAGAGGAATTTCCTGTAAAGGTCATTTCTATATAAATCCAGCTTTTTGATGTTAACACAGGTTCCTTCACAGTTTGTTCAGACTGCAATGGCAATGTGAGCTGCAGAGTGAAGTCAGATTTGCTTTGCCAAAGCAGACATTGCAGCTTGCTCTGTAAAGTGCTGTTCCCAAAGCAGGGAAGATATGTGCCCAGAGAACTCAAAGCACTTGGGTTTTACTCTTTTATTTTTCCACTTGAATCCTATTTTAGATAAGAAAAT